ATCGTATGTATGTTCTGAGAATTTGTGAATGTTCGTCAACAGCTCAATTCGTGCCTTGAAGATCACAACCAAACCACGCGTCTTGTGTCGTGTAAAGCGCTTCAGAAACTTCTTATATCGTGCAAAGATTGCTTCCACGGTGAGTAAGAGTAGAAAGCTCCTCAAACAGCGTCAGAAAGTAAGAAGAAGAAAGTAATTATCGCTATTGCTAATCCACAACTTTACTAACTACTCTATCGACATCTCTCTTGCAATTACATTAACACCCTGCTGAAATGAAGAAACGCCAACTTAAGTCTCGTTTCCATAATCCCATACGACAGATAATAACCAGCTATGTAGGCTCATGTTTACAGTAAAGTGAGTGAGCGAGCGACAAATTCGTCCTCCTCCAAGAACGCAATTGCTTACGCAAATTTAGAAAAGATTGGTAAACTTTAGTGTACACAGGGTATTAACCATACTATTTGTCCAGGTGATTTACTACATCAAATCTACCCTGAACTGATGAAGAGGATGGATGACAGCAGTGACGAGATTCGAGTGATGGTTACCAAGACGTTCTTATCGTTTTTCAGGTCGGTAAAAATTGCTTGTTTTTATGTTTATCTTATTTTTGATTTGTTTTTCCAGCGTTTTACATGCATTCAAAGCTAATCCAGGAATCCAGAGCTAATGAAAGAAATTCCCTCACAGCCGTTCTTAGTGGCGGGCTCCCTGTCTCCCTTTACCCGGTTTGTGGGGCGTGGGATAGGGAGCCCGCCACTAAGAACGGCTGCGAGGAGACTAAATAAAAGTAGACCTCTCACTAGTATTTGTTTTTCCAGAGGATTTCCTAGCAACTATGATCGCGACAGCCATTTTTGATAGGTTGGCATTCAATCTCTCACGAGTATCTGTTGTTCCCAGGGCGTTTCCTAGCAGCTATGATCGCGATTTATACAAGTTTCACCTTCAAGCAATGTTCAAAGGGTTAATAGTTCACTTAGACGATCCTTCTCCTGCTATACAGGTCTGTAGAGTGTAATACATCGTAGTAGTGCGTGCTGTGCCAGTCGCTGTTTCTAATGAAATTTCCTGACGTTTCGGACGTTGGTCTTTCGTCWACTTCACGTGAATCTCTCTTTCTTTACAACAGGAGGGAGTACTCGCTGTCCTGAAAGAAGCAGCTCACATTCACCCAGGAATATTACGAGAACAAGTAGAGGCCGTAAAACACAAGCATAGGGTTTCCAGGTATGKRTGAATAAAGCTTCCTCTAAAGCTACTTAGACTCGTAAATYATTGACTGCRCATGCTCCTATGATTCCGAAGTCTTTATCYCACATGGCTTAGTGCCACGCCTTGTATCTTGATATTTTTGATTTGCAAATGATATCATCGCGACCTGTTGCTGGACATTTAACATAAGTTTTCTAAGTAGCTTCTATTGTGATGTACGACAAATTGGCGGCCAAACGTTTTGTTCTAATGCTCACGGCCCAAAGTTTCTCGGAGCGGCTAGGAACGCCTGGCTACGCAGGCTACTCACGGATGATTTGCATTCATGTGACTATAAATCAACAATATATCGTATGAAATGAACCTGAGCTTGGAAGCTATATCAATTTTCTACAAACCATGAAGCACTTCACTCCTATGATTTACGCATCATCGTACCCAGGCTTTCCCGTTGTCCAATCTTGCATTACGTCATGTAACTCCATTACGCTCGCAAGGAACGCTTGTGTTATTATGATATGCTATGATTTACTTTCTAAAACGTTTTGTTTTTCCAGATATTGTGATGAATTATTAAAGGAAGTCCAGTCACAAGATACTGCCATGGAATCGTGACGGCACCGTTACAGCYTTTCTTYTTGAAAGCAATATGTATATAGAGGAATTCTTTGTAAAGGTGTATTTTTAAAGCGTTAAAATATCGCTGTATTTGTCATCGAATTTTCAACAGAAGTAAAAGCAATCGATAAATAAATTTGTAACAAACAAAATAACGAGCTATTTCGCCTACATAGTATAGACTTTTTGTAAGAATGTGGGATTATGAACTTCTTGTTAAAATCCGCGCGAAGTCTGCCGTTTTGTCGGGCTTCCTGTCCCTAAGAGGCTGCGAAGGAGACTAGCGCGAAGARTGAGTTTAACAAAGACTAGTGTGGGGTAGGGTAAGGACGGAGAGAGCTGCCCGCAAAGCACTCGTTTACTGAGGAAACTGAAGGTGAACAAATGAAGCAAGCTCAATGGAAATGACACGATTTTCAACCATGCGCGCACATGTTTTCATGAATTACATAGAAACTTTCAGTGAGACCGTTTGAGTATTTGAAATTCGAGACAAGTTCTGGTAAACACTATAAACTATGATACTACTACTGTCACACCTCTATTGATATATATAGGTTAGGTTTTTATCTATAAAACTATACAGGCCACTCTTATTTCCATAGAAAATTMATTTGCTGGTTGTTACTCGTTACACAAGTCAGTAGAGTCGGGTGGTTATGACGTCCTCATGCAATAGACCAAGTTCTTCTGGGTCCCAGGTTCACTCGGTTAGGTTTTCAAAGCGTGCTGTGCATGCTGGGTACTGTATCCAAACGTCATCCCATAACGGAATTTTTCTCCTGAAATAAGAAATAACGATGAATTGGTAAGATACAACGAGAACTAATCTCGAGGGGCATAGAATAACCCGTGATAGTCTAAAGGCCGAGAAACATGAGACACAAAACCATTATCGTGCAACTTCGATTTGGAGTTTGRAGTCGATGTTTCTCGTTTTTCACATTAGCTAATCAACTTACGGACTGTTACTCCGAACGTGAAACGTCAGTATGTTTTCTCTGTTACGCCGATTAAGTATCTGTATTGACGTTCAAACGAGAAATATACGTGTATGACTCCTTAGGGGTAGGGTGTAAAATTTAAATACATTCTTACATACCGGGTACATGTCCTGTGTAGTGTGGTACCAGCCCTGTTCCTGGCTTCATCTCGTAGATGGTACTTATCTTTACTGGTTTCACTTTAGGTCTACGTACAACAACTGGTTGGTTTTCAATTGACTTCAACCTGGTTGTTTCGTCGGTGAATTCGCACAAGGCTTTATTAGTAAGAGCAGGAAACCCCAGACCCATGCATCCCCGGTACAGCGGTACAAATCCCGTATAACCGGACATTAAGAATTTCTTTGGATCACCGTTGCTCAAAGCGAAAGGAGACAGCGAGTGTTGCATTGCTTTTTTGGAGTAATACTGTTGAGGCACTCCTATTGGCTTCAAGGGAACTTTATATTTCGACGCAACACGAGTGCTTTCCGACATCAGTCCCGGAAGAACCTGTTTGCCTTGTTGAAGGTCGGCAATCGTTCGGAGATCTGTCGTTTTCTTGTGATGTCCGACTTGATCTTTTTGGAAACTGGCAATCGCACTTCGTGATGTTTCGGCGTAGGAATTGCCAAAGTAGTGCTCAGACTTGGGAATATAACCTGAAAAGGAAGTGAAAAGTGACGCAAAAGTGAGTAAGAATACCAAGCCATTTCTTTGTGTTGGTAGCCGTATTAACCGGACTACGTTTTGGCGGGAAATGAGTGCTTGATTCCAAGCGCGGGAAAATTTCCAGACGTGGAGGATTGGAAACAAGCAATATGAGAATGTGCGCGCACGCTTCGAAGAACTCCACTTTCGGATTCTTTACCTCCTCGATATAATCTGTCTGGCTGTCTACATTTTAGCTTTTTGCCTAATTGTCTATCCATTTATTGCCGCAGAGTCTGCCAAGTTGTTTGTTATACTCCTCTYTAGATATTCAGTTTAAATTTCCGCCCTTCAAAACACCTGTACTGTAAAAACATTCGACATCTTCGCAAACGTCTCTCTTTTACAGTTTGATAATTGCACAGGAAAAGTGCGGTTTCGAGCCCTAATTACTCAGAATAAWGTAAACAGCAATGACTACTACATCTTTAGCAGTAACTAATATCGTTCTTACGAAAAAAGCAGGYCCTACTTCACTAGAATATTGATTTTGAATCCAATTTCTTATAGCGCTAAAGCCGCCAGCAAAAAATATCATATACATATCTAAGCGATTTCTTATCTAAGCATGAGAAAAGTTCAAAGARACTTTGTTTCTATACAACGAAAAGTCAAAGGAAAAGATGAGGCTTTCGATAGTAATCGTGGATGCGGCTATATCTTTGGGCAAGTATAGATATAGACATAGGAAATCGCTTTGCCATGATGAGCAAAATAGAAAAGAAGTCAGAGGAAATGATATCGCCTAAGGATACCGATTATGATAATTCAGACGATAATTCGCCGTCTGAAGCTAAAAACATATTTAAAATCTCAACTTTGATATGGGTAAACATAGGACAATATATCKCAAAACAGGAAAAGATGTCGCCTTACATACTGTGGTATGAGATTCAGTAAGATTACTACAGTTTACAATATTGTTTATAAAGAATCTTCTGTGGCATATTTCAAAACTAAATATCAGGGAATCTTTGAATACAGAGTCCAATATAAAAAGTTCAAAGGCTCAGCGAAAGTAAAACAAYGTCTTCCACGAGGCGATGTGGCCWAGTCGCTATAGCAACGAAACGTAAACTTACTTATTTTTCGCTAAARCTTTGCATCAAAACCGAATTTTATCTCATTGATTTTGGTGTGCTTAAGGGAATATTCAGAGAAAAATTTAATRGCATTAGGGTGTTTTTATYTAAGTAAATTTAAAAGAATATGATAATTTCTTTCAGCATTGTGTAAAATGAATGTTTTGTTCCATAGTTAGCGTGCAAGCTCAAGGAATGCGCAAGGAAAGTAGATAGCGCGCTGACTTCGAAAAGAATYCAGGCGKTCAAACACTGTAATGCTCTTAGGAAGAGACATTCCTAAGCTAAACGCTACCATAAGCGGTTTTCATTCCCTCAAAACCATCTATAATCTTTTAAGGCTATACCAATGTGTCATTTATTGAATAGCCTTTAGCAAACACTAAGCTTTGAAGACGAGACTACGAGATAAACTAGTGCGATTACGCATTACTCCCAAATACGATTTCTTTTTGYTATCTAGCTTACCAGTATAGCCWGGCACCATYTTGTCKGTGAGTTTTTGGTCTCCAAGACTAAATGTCCGAGTTGCAATCACRTCTCTTCTGTCGTCAAACTTGCGTGGTTTTTCTGCTTCGATCTCAGCCAGAACGGGCTTCCCAGAGCTTGCAACAGTTTCAATTGGACTCGTGAGAAGWGTAGAAGTAGTCTGTCCAAATGTCTCTCCAATCTGGTACTTAAATTGCGGACAGTAGCCGCAATATCTACAGGAAGGAAACACAATATTATTGAAAGAAAGCACTAAGTTTACAAGCAATAAAAGTTCAATAAAACTTTGAATTCTGATACACTGTATGTGTTTCACCAAGTGTAATACATCAATACAACTTACCCTGGGATATGGTACGGATCTGGTGTCATTAAGGTCGATTTTTTCTTCTTATCCATCTTGATAAACCGTATCCTTCCTTCCTTGTTGAGTAAGAAGACCGAGTGTTGTTGATTCGTATGGTAGTTGCGTGACACCGTTACCAAGCGAGTGTTGTTCTTTCGATTAATTAATGACCCATTACAACAATGGGCCAATAACGCGTCACCCACTAATTAAACCTAATTGACAATTACTTGACAAACGCTAAGTAATCCTTCAAGGGATTATGCAAAATTTCTGTTTTGAAATTATCAATTTTCATAAATTCGAGAGGGCTTTTCGAGAAACGCATTGCGTGACTTTCGAAACTGCGGACAAACTTGAACTATAAAATCATAACAAACCTCTCCATTTCCGTTGGTTGAATCGTAGCCTGTCAGGAATAAAATTGATACCCTACAATCCTTGAAAAGAAGATGACAAGARTTATTCGCATATCTTACGTAGAAATATCTTAAATTGTTAAGAACGGTTACCCTGTTTTCGTGATTTCGTCTTTGAAAACTGGTTTSGGTTGGTAGCGCAACTTCGTTTTAGACGGTTTCGTAATCTCGTTATAATAAAACTCCGTTTTTGAGTGTTTCGTGATTTCTTTATAAATAAAACTCGATTTTGAATGTTTCGTGATTTCGTTCATATCGATTTCACCATGCAATGTACCTCCTATAGACAGGAAACGTCAAGAATGATGGCTATCTTTTATTAGCTGAGTGTGTGACAGGGCGATGAGATATTTTTAGGAAAATATTTTATCTTACATTTGTAAGTATTTCCTTTGAAGGCATCGAAGGAATTATTTCATTGAATGCAAATGAATATTCAGAATGCATGAGAGGAACATCCTGTTGTGAGATTTTAACCTTTATAACATGTTTGTAAAAACACAATTATGRTGGGAAAAACTACCTTCGCTTTATGCACGTTCGCAACTTTTCCTTTTAGACAATTAATGTTTGAACATTTCGTCTCAATTGCCATGAGAAAGTGACCATCTTGTAGTAGATAAAACCGCTAAGCAATAGAGATTCCATTAGAAACATCCCGCCTAATTTTTTGCCTCTAATGAAGAAAATAACAATTTGATGTATTCCCAAAGAGCGCGCCCTTGTAATTTATTTTCTATTAAGCGCCACCATAGATACCGCGCGCGCAAGCTCATTTAGTATTTGCGCTGGACATTAGTATTTCTGTGCCAGTATTTCTAGTTATGACCTCATTTTCCGCTAATAAGTAGTCTGTGAAGATGAGTCAATGGCTTAAAAGGTTTTCCATAAATACAAAATGAATGGAGGAAAGTAATTTCCACAAAATAATATACAATACAATATTGTCCCAATATAAACTACTTTATCATTTTCATATCAAGACCTTTTCCGATATGAAACGCATCAATATATAGTGTGAGCCCTCAGCCTTCCGTGTGTAATCAAGATCAGTTAATCAAAAATTTCGTGAAGACTAACTAGCGTATTACGTAAGAACTTTTCAAACAATTACGGCAGCGCCCGGAAACTCGCGGAAATGGAAGACGTACACGAGGATATATTGATTGTAATGTGAGAAAACCCGGTATATTTTACAATCCGGGACAAGACCAAACACGGTACTTACTTTTCTGCATTTCACTATCTTCAGCAATGCTAAAAAAATGATAAAATATTTTTTTAGAAAAGTAGCTACACAAGGGGTTGAAGATAACAGTGATCTTCACTGATGATGAATGTATTGTCTATCAGCATCATAAATAATCATAAATAATCATAAATAATATCAATTAAACTTTGATACGTGTTGTACATGCTAATGGCTATGGTATTCTTTATTATTTGTGACAAATGACAATTAGATCAGCCAAGTTGTTAAACTCTAATTAATATTAAACAAAAAAWTACACAAAAACTCGCAATGGTTGTTCGTTTCAATTTCCAAAGAATTCTTTGATATCTTTAGCAAAATTATTTACTTTATTCATAAAAACTCTTRCAGTCTTCCCCCACMCGTTGGGAAACTTTGCATAAGGGTTTTTCCAAGTAGATTTTCAACCAATCCCGAAGAGTTTCCGACAAAGCATTCCATGAGCCCGAATCAAGATCKGGATGTCATGCTTGGCTGGAGACGCCTCAAGACGTTAGAACGAACCAAGACAAGAACTTGGAATGACTTACGTATGAGTTCGTATCAACGGTTAAAAAGTTACGCTCTTTGTTCCCGATGAAGCGCGATAAAGGGATTCTATTATTGCTTTAGCCTAGCGGTTAAACCTGACCGCTAGAAAGCCCCAATGCCGGGCAAACTGCGCCGACATACTTATGATCTAGTCGAGGAAACTTACGATAGCAAGGTTCCTGTTCACAACGAAGCGGCTTTTGAACATGGAATTCGCTTTCAAGTCAAGGTTTGTAGTATTCATGAATTTATCAGTACTTTTTGGTGTTTTATTCAAGCGTTATAATGAAATTTTACACCATGCGATTGGGTAACTTCGAAAGCCGCCCACTGTATGACAGCTTATGCACCGCAAATCATAACCRTAATTGTATTTRCYAGAACGGTGGCCTAAAATTACRCAAATTCTCGATTTTTCGACAGTATATTGGAACTAGAGAGATCCCTAAGCCGTCGAGTAGAGCTGAGATCGTCGCGTCAATGCGTAGAATTAGGGTAAGTTAAGTTATTTGTCATGGATTTATGATACAACTCTCGTAATAGTAACTTTATAGCTTAGGTATAGCTCAATTATATCAACGACTTGTCGCGGGCAGAACGCTTTTAAAACGTCTTTAATAAGCCGTTTAGATTTATTTTTCTCTAATAATTAGCTCACTTCTGCAGTCTCTCATGGAGTATTTATAGTTTTACCAGTGAGCATGATAGAGAGTTGGAGTTGTGGTCCAAAAAAATGTCAACATCACAGCTCACTAGATAATAACTCATTTTATGAATAAATCAACAAATCCCATGAGTAAATACATTTAGCCCTGATGAAGGAAATCTCACTGATAATCATGTTGCCTTAGTCTGTATACTTATATATTTTAATTCTTGAAATGTTCAAGTGAAATAGTACACCGTGTATGATGCGATAGCTCGTCAGTGACCTCTGTTAAGTATTTGCGGTCCTTTGCACTATGCGCCTCGTGGATCATTGTTGTGATCGGTTATGTTATTCAAAGTGCATATTCCCCGGTTAAAATCTGAGAATCTATGTGATTAATAACACCCCAAGACAAAAGCCTACAACAAGAATAGATCACGATCGAAAAAAGCGATAATTTTTTTTCAATGTACTCTAAAATGTTACAGAGATATGACCGTGTAGGCGTCAAAGTGACTCCTTCTCACTCGTTTTTTATCTCTTAACTTTTCCTTTGCCGTATTCAAAGCAAAACTAGTGTGTCTAAAAAGCCATTTCAATACGTGAGAATGTATTGTCTAAATTGCTTAAGGCAATCAAATTAGAACAAAGCCAATCAAGCGTCAGACGATAGATTGTTTCTGAAAGCCATCCAAGTGCTACATGGTAAACTTTTCGAAAGCTTCTGTGATATAAGTGGGTTTTTTTCCTTGGATTTTGGCGCAAAAAAACACCTGTTAATTCACTATTGTTGTTTTCGATTGTAAACAAGAATCAGGAAGTCGGTGATTATAAAAAAATATAATTAAAATGATGAGAAATCGCAAAGATTATAAAATTCCTAGAAAKCCATCAAAGTGCTTGGTTGCGATTCCCTCGACAACTTACATGTAAAGTGAGTTTCCATTTTCAAAATATTACAAATTTTTTCATCAACTTTCTAGTCGAGATCTTTATTGTTTTGATATATACCTTGGTACGGCCGTTACGTTTTCTTGCATATCAATTAAATACCGAGTTAGCAAGGCAATAATTAAGTCTCTCGTAATTATTTCTCTTCGTTTTGAGTCAATATTCCCATGTGATATTAGTATCATGACTGAAATACAACAAAGTCAATAAAATATTCTTTTTCTCTCGCTTAATTAATGTTTTTCATAACATGGTTTTATTAAAGTGACTATAGGTGATAATAATTTGAGTCTGTGGAAACTCGTTTACGATGAATATTTAATCAACAAAGAAATAATTTGACCCGACGCTGTTTGACATGGGCACTGATGTATTATTTTGAGGAAAGTTTCACGATACATCGTTAAAAATGATTGATAATTTTTTTTTTTTTCGGTCAAAGTGTATTTTAATCMATATCTTGAAATCAGCCCTGGGCTTTATATACACGTATTTACTGTGTGATACCTATGTTTGTGAGGCGTTGTATTGGAGAGGATAGTTACTGTTTAACACTTACAGATTACAATACATAAGATTCTTATTTATTTTTTTCGCTATTTTAAATCCTTGTTAAACCCACAGTTCATAGTTAGCTTATCGAATTCCAAAAACTTTTCTTCTTTTTTGCCTTTTAAATTGATAGTGTTTACAAATAGACACMAAAAGGCACCAAATARATTGKTTTTCATRAACCTGTGAAACRAAGTGCAAAAGTCAATGTGTAATAATTTGCGATGCACCCAAAAGAGAAATAAAAATTTGCACAATAAATATCATTAATAAAAGTGTACCGTGTTAAAGCATTTCATTGRTTAATAGAAACACTTTGTGTTTCCAAGGAAGTGCAAGTACCATAACAAAATGCTTAAATATTTTTTTTGTCACTTTGAAAAGGTGTTTATATTCTTTCATATATAATTATTCGTATAATTCATGTATTATTGTTTTTTCATGATCTTCTTTATAMCAAAAGTTGCTATTAGTTTCCAGTGAATCTGCTTCAGAAAGTTCATTCTTTTTTACCCTGTTTCTATGTCTTTTTGAGTTAGAATGACATTATTTGACATGTTTTCTTTAATTAGGATAATGTATACATTCATAAGACAAATATTTCTAGCTGTTCACAAAGCTGCCCTAATTTATTGTTGATATAGAACAGCTAGGAGTCAAGGCAGGTGCATGAATTTATCTACATGYATGGCTACTTTGAATAGTTCCATCACTGTGAACTGAATGGGTTTTAAWTTTTTTCAGTGTTAATTGTGACTTTAAGTTTTTCAAAAAGCTGTATGTTAACTGCACAAAATTTTACTACCTTAAGTGTGTTTT